TCCAGTAGTTCCAGAGGAGAAGATTTTTGTAAAAGCTAACGGACGACGACGACGGACAACAAAGGACGCCAAGTGATGAGAAAAGCTCATTTGACCCTTTTGGGCCAGGTGAGCTAAAAAGGGGTGATTTTTTCTGTTTTCGGACAATATTTTTAAAGTGCTTTGAGGTGTTTTCATGAAACTTTTGTGACTGGTTTATATAGATTAAGGTAACCTCCCTTTAGTTTTTCATAAATTTTGATATGTCATTGAGAAATTATTTATAGGTTTCATACTGAGTGAGATTGGATATCGCTTGATATCAACTCTCGTTATTTAATTCAAATAGTAATAATAAACTCGCTTTCGCTTGATATCAACTCTCGTTATTTAATTCAAATAGTAATAATAAACTCGCTTCAGCGAGTTTATTATTACTATTTGAATTAAATAACGAGAGTTGATATCAAGCGATATCCCATTCGCACAAGTTGGTAAACCTATATGTCTTATGGTCAACACTCTCATTGTGTTAAATTAAAAATTCCACGAATCGTTGGTGTAGTATTTTCCACACGAAATGTACATCGTCGTAACCTTTGAAGGTCGTCAATGACATAACGAATAGCCAATGGAAATGCCGTAATATCGTCATATAATGCTGGATAAGCAAATCAAATTAACTCATATTTTCGTATCACTTTTTCGTATCACACTCCGATACGAGAAATGTCTATTCATGCAAGAAACAGATGATAAGCCACAACCATAAGAGAATGAACATTATTCTTTGAAAACGGGACGAGTGTATCATGCGCCCATGGCGCAGCTGCAGCTGTTTATTAAAAAAACGGAGTAAGAAACCTACTGGACATCAGAGAAGAATCAGAAAATGCTATGTAAAATAAAATTTTCTACTAAAAGAGGTCTGCCCCCTGCCCCCAAATAAAAAAATCATTAATGACAATAACAAAAACATACACACATACACACACTTAATCCGACCAGTTTTTATACCCATTGACAATAAAATTGGAATTAAATTTCATGTATAGTTAACAATGAAATGAATAGTTCATCAGCTTAACACACTACTATGTACGTACGTCTATGCTTACATAGGATTGTTGCCATCATGAATATATACTGTACATGTAATTTATAAGATGTGACAAACAACAATATAAACAAATGAACGATACTTGTTTATAAAGTGTAAGTGTTAGTACACCATTATCAAACTGACGAATGCATTGGTTTCGTGCCTTAAAAAAATACATAATTTGAACCCTTTTTTGTTGTTTTTAAACGTAAATACACGTACACATAACATTTTAAGCTATAGGAAATTTGTATAATCACTCGATAAAACACGGACGCACTCGAAAAAGCCCGGACTGCTCTCGAAAAAACCCGAACACACAGAAATAAATTTAGTCTTAAATTGTCGTTTTCAATGCAATAACAAGAATTTTTGTAAAGTGTCTGTATATCTAAGGATTATATGGATTCCATGTATGCATTTCCATCGACATTTGCATTGGTATGTGTATAAAAATGGCTTTGTTCTGTTTTTTGGAATAAAAGCATTGTAAGGCTAAATTCAACTTTTTTTACGAAAAATGATGTCGAATTGATAATATCTTTTTATCGCTAATACTAACACACCTTGTATATCCAAGTGTATATAAAACTCAAGCTTCTATATCACGTTTTGTCAGAAAGGAAGTCTGTTTGTTTACATTTTTGATCATATTCACCCGAAAAAAAGTGGTCACACTCGAAAAAAAACCGACAACATCACTCGAAAAACCACGATCCTAGCCGGACACTATACCTACCGTGTATAGTATCACACCACTATTTGTTTGACATATTGAAAAGTACAGTAAAGTTTTAATTATTGGTCAGAATTTAACCTTTGACGTGTGTCATAGCCCATTAATGTTACAAATCATATATAGCCACGCCTTACTTATTAACATATTTAATCCACTCAAAGCTACGCTTTTCGTGAATAAAATACGTTAATTCGCAAAAGGCGTGCTATATACATAACATCCATCTGGTTCTTGCAACGTTTAGTTTACATAAGTTCCGTTGAATAATTGAACTGCATATCTGGTATGAATAACTCATGAAAAGCTGATTGAATGATATTTGTATATTAAGTCGCAATACACTATTATAACTATTAATATTGTAGTGACTTTTAAAGGTGCATTAGCTGTCAATTCATGTTCACCGATTTGACTCAAATTCTCATATTTGATTTATAACATACTAAAACGTATATAAAAATTACAAAAAGTCTAAAATAAACTACAAACAATTCATAGAATCGATGATATGTGACAGAATTTAGTGTGTATTCTAGTCTTGATGCCATTTAATATCTCCGTAAAATGCTGAGGGTCTTTGACCCAGTATAAATATATGTATATCTATAAATAGACAGATAAGATACTGAATACTGTTCTAGGTCTGTTTGATTTCATGTCATATATTTAAAAAAATATGAAATCATCGTTTATACCTATTATAGAATGATTTTTTTGTGGATCGAATCAGTCAACGAAATGGTCCACCCTTGTTTCACTTTCAAAGTTAATTGTAATGATACTCTTTTCTTTTGAATAGCCGAACAAGCCTAGTACATTTTGTACATGCGTGCAACAATGAAACCTATCTCCAGCTAATGGTTAAATTGAAGTTCACATGAATACGGATTCAAAAATAGTTGAATAATTGGCTTGAAAATCATTAATCAATCAGCGATGTTTTTGAGCTTATTTTGACAAATTTCGACCAAACTGACTGTATGTAACGTAATATTATTTAAGAATTTTGTTTTTAATTACGCTTAAAATGAATAAATCGTATTTAATTTTTTTGTCATAACCGTAGCTAATGCCCCTTTTACTGTTAAGGATAGTTCCATAATCACCAAAGAGTACTCCAGTTCAGACATTTTCGAAAAGTCATCTACACGGACACTTATACCGACACCGAAACCTACACTGACTAAAATAGAGGGACCGTATCAAAATGTCAAAATACACTAAATGATTTATAACTATATTAACGAGGTAAATTATATTTAAAAATAAACGCAAAAGCCATATATTTTTAATATGGCAACCCTGCAAATAGGATGGATATCCCATAGAAGAAAAAAAACTCCCCTCGTAAAACTTTCTTTCAAATTGACTCAGCAGATGTAGAAAAATATAAATATATATATAAATTCATTATTCGTTAGTTGTTTTTTTTATAATTATTCGTTAGTTGGTTTTCTATAATTTTTAATTCAAAATCTGAGCTAGAAACACAAAGTGCTCTCATCAGTTTTGGAATTCTTTTAGTGATGATTTGTGATATTCCAACTGTGTTTTCTTCTAATTGTCGATTTATACTGATTGATCTTTTTCAAGCAGTAAATTACTTTCATGTAGTTTTTGGGGTAAAATAACCAAAATGGGTATTCATCTTATCAAGAGAAAATCGGGTACACCGTTTTACGTTCAAGCCTGTTTGAGTTTACTGTTTTGTCCTGAATACGTATAAAGCAAAAATATTGATACATCAGTCTCGCTTCAGATTCATTTTTTTTTATTTATTTAGGCTACATTTGATATTATAATAACATTACACACTCACAGAACCAAAAACAGGAAATATATTAGTCAAGTGAAATACCTTTCAAATGTTTAAACTAGAAGTGTATTTCTTAGTTGTATTTTGTTTTACTTTCGTTCACTCATTTTTTAGTGAAAAATTTAAGCATATTAATTATTTTATTTATGAAATGTATATTAAAAAAAAGTGGGACACATGTTGTTCACTAACTCCTCCTTGGATTTATACAAAAAGTCCATGACTTTATAAGTGGATATTAAAAATGCATAACTGAAAAAAAAACATTTTTGTGTGTGTAATCTAGGTTAATTATTCTTCAACCTCTGCAAATGTTTAGTCTGCCCTTCCACATAATACTTAAATAAAGTTTTTTTAATGTTTTTATTGACTTTCAAAATTTCCCCCTGACAACCAACCAGACAATAGTTTTTAGTTGACAAAAGGCCCAAAAGTACATGAGATGCTTTATAGCTAGTAGATACATTTGTTTTTCAAAACACAACTGTCATGTAAGGATCGTAATTATGCCAAGTGGATAAATTTATCGGTTTTCAAGAGCTAAGTTGACAGCACGGGTCATCCTGGCTTCCATTTTCACGATTGAAAAAATTAATCGACGTAGCGGGTTATTTTAAAGTGTGTACCACATTTTTTATGTTATTTCGAATAGACAGAAAAAATATTACTGTCATTTCTTATAATTTAATTCTAAATTCCATTTTAAACCGGAGTAAACCATGAAAAAACGTTGAAGACGTCACGGTCACATGACAAAATTATGTCTATGAGCTGATAAACAAAACAACGTCAGCCAATCAGAAGACGCGTTACATCCAAAATTAAATTATTGAGAGATGATTTTGACGAAGTAGAATCCTGACTTTCTGTGGAAAATTCTACTAATTTACACAAAGCCTTCACCCTTTTTTTAAAAAATATAATATGAAGATCGGTCAGTTCTCAGCTTCTAAGCAGAGCCAATAAATCAACAAATCATTGAAAATATTTTTTATACAGTATTTAAAGTGTAAATTATATATATATATTTTGTTATAATTGCCTGTGCTCATTATACACCTTGAGATGACCCCACCTAAAATGTTACCTGTAGCCCTAGCTATAGGTGTAAGCGTCAGTGTCGATAAGTTTTCGAAAATGTCTAATAGGGATCTAATGAAACTGATACATTTATGTATGGGTATATTCGGATATTGTGCCGAATTTAAATTAACAACATTCCTTCTGCATCCGTCATACAAGAAATTTTATTAACAAATAAACATGCACAAAAGACCGTTTCACCTATTTTATAAAATATGTTGCTGACCCAAACAAATGTATGAAAATATCAACGTACATTTTCAGAATATTCAAAATATTACCGTATGACGAAGAAAAACTTGTCCCAGTCATGCGCTGTATGCCAGAAGACGTGTATGTATTTCCACCTTTTAGAAATGAAATGGTTTTCACGGCATTAAGCAATTGTGTTTTTGACTGGTAGGAGTTCAATTTAATTTTTGTATAAGTAGTATGCGCATAGATGTCAACGCCTACTTGCACTTCATCTTTACCGATGGTAAAGATGTTTATAACATCTTGTACAAACTTTAACATCAATTGCCAGTTTGATGCCCCGACACTACCAGAGGAATCTAACACAAACACTACGTCTGCCCTTGCACCACAACCTGTGAAGAAAAAGAATTGCTCTCAACAAACCTTTGAAGTCATTTAAAATGTATCAAGTTGTCTTGTTGTGCGACCGACTTGATTATGTTTGCTCACACATTTTTTATCAATATAATGGAATTATATGCGACTGCAATACAAGTGAGAAGTTTAGCTAGCTATAAAACCAGGTTTAATCCACCATTTTCTATATAAGGAAAAGCAGGTACAGAGTACCAAGTCAGGAATATGACAGTTGTTTTCCATTCGTTTGATGAGTTTGAGTTTTTGATTTTGTCATTTGATAAAGGACTTTCCATTTAGAATTTTCCTTGGAGTTAGGTATTTTTGTTATTTTGCTTTTTCCTACCTTCATTGATTCATATGTCGGACCCGAGTTACTCGTCAATTGTTGTCTAACATGTATCTGAATGCGTTTCTTAATTAGAGAATTTGGTGCTGGTGGCAGATATTTGATACTTTCTGTTTGATTAATTCATATTTTTTATGTATACTTAAGTTATTTGTGTTGTCGAGTTGCTGTCTCAATGATTTTCTTTATTTTCAGAAGATTTATTAGTCGAAACAATCAAAGATGAGGTATTAGACTTTCAACGACTGATTAACTGTTCCTTTTCTTCGTTAAGGTAAAGGAGTAGTTTCCAATTAGGTTTATATTCAACCGTAGAAATTGTTGAGCAATTTCCGTTCGGTAGTCCTCACATTTTATAAGTGAGCATCCATTGGATGTTTGATGTGTACTGATTGATATTTCAGTCTTAGGTGCATGATTTTTTTTATTAGTTGTTATTGGCTTTGAACTAGCTGTCAGTAACTGCGAGTACTCCCAGATCTGTACTTTTTGTTGTGGGGATGTGTAAGTACCCTGCCACGTCAACTCTGTGATTTTGTTACTTGCTTTTGCTTTGTATCTATCTGATGAGTTAAGCCCTTTTTAACTTATTTTTACAGTTTGTTCACATGTTGTACTGTCCCAGGTTAGGGGAGGGTTGGGCGCCCGCTAACATGTTCAACCCCGTCACATTCTGTATGTGCCTGTCCCAAGTCAAGAGCCTGTAATTCAGTGGTTGTCGTTGCTGTATATCATATTTGTTTTTCGTTCATTATTTTGTACATAAATCAGGCCGTTAATTTTCCTGTTTAAATAGTTTTACTTTTTTCATTTCGGAGCCTCTTATAGCTGTTAATGCGGTATGGGCTTTGCTCATTGTTGAAGGACGTACAATAACCTATAATTGTAAATTTCTGTGTCATTTGGTCTCTTGTGGATTGTTGTCTAATTGGCAATCATACCACATCTTCTTATTTTTATATTTATGATAAATTGCAGGTTTTTAGAATAGTTTTCATTAAAGTAGCTTTGGCTGCTGGCTTTGATCAAACTATTTTTTTTGTATATATATATTCTTTCTCTTGGTTTGCGCGGTTGTTGGATAAGGGTAAAAATTTAACCTTCCTGCATAAAGCGTCTGAGTTTATACTGACTGGCTTTGATAAAAATATTTTTTGTATATTCCCGATTTGTTTGCGTGATTGTTGGATAAGGGTAGAAATTTAATCTTGTAACAGGTCAGAGAGAGAGAGAGATACTTTTCCTACGCAAAGCGTCTGAGATTATATCTTTTAAAAGGACGTGACTGCGTATTTGTACATACCGCATAACCAAACGTAACATAGTGCATATTCTAACGGACACCAATACTCGACAGGGGTCTTAATGCTAGATTGGAGAAGCCAGAGTTACCATCTTTGTTGATTTTGTTTTTACTTGTTAGGGAATAATGGTTGATGCATGTATGTACTGTTCAATGTTTTGGTGTTATTCTTTTAATGTATTATTTCCCCGCCAAATAAGGTATGTACAAACCTTTTGTTTTCTTAGCATCAATAGTAGGTGTTACTAACAGACACAAGAAAACGGTTAATGATATCTTCGTACCTGTAACAAATCAAATTAAAATACAGAAATAAAAACATTTAAAAAATATTTGGTATTTTATTAAAGGTTAGAATTAACTACATGTGCAATTAAAAATGCTATACTTCTTTTTTACATCAATTAAAAAAATATTCATATTGGATATCATATGAATAAAAAAATTACGGAGGCTTGCAAATACAAATTACAATTAATATTTATGTATATCTACATATTGATTACGTGTATATGGGTAAAGAAGAAATACCTCTATAAAACAAGGGATACAGCGATGCGAATGAGATATAGTTATTGTATATCGATCTCACCTTACTTTTGTGGCAAAACAATTTCCGCCGAGAAGTCTTTCTTTGATTTTAAAATTAAAATTTATTTATTGACTTTGCATCCGTATAAGTTAGAGTAACTCTCCATAATTCTTGAAATCATCATTTCAAAATTCACTTCAACTGCAATGTGTTCCTGCTTTTCGAAAATGATGTTTGATTACGTGTCTTAGGGTCGGATTAATTTTACGGGTCAAAACTTTGATGTTTTATAATTTTCCAATAAGGATGAGACAAGATTATTTATTTTTATGGGAATTGAGGAATTTATTTATTTTGATTCTTACTTTATTTATCTTTTTTTTGGAATGGTGGTGGGGTAGGGGGGAAGAGGGGTTGGGGGGGGGGGGGGGGTACATTTTTATTTGGTTTTGTGATATTGGTGTTTTGCATACTATGCATTTTGCATTTTTCTTTATTATCATTTGTATTGTGAATTTCAACATACCCTATCTTCTTCAATCTTCTATTTTTTTTTTATAAAACTCAATACAAGGGGTATGCCGGATTTGTTTCGGAAAAATAGATTGTAAAACTTAAATTTCTGTCTTTCTTTTAGAAATAATTCATTGGGACTTGTATTAATGTTGATTCCACCACGGGTTGAGCTTTTATGCAAGATATTCGAAGAGCGATAGAGTGCGAGTATGATTGAAACAGTCCAAACAAAAATGACATTGCAGATTAGCTGACATACAAGATATTTGTATTTAAAGGGGCATTAGCTAAGAGTTAGACAACAAAATAAAAATACGTTTCTTTTTATTTCAAGTATTAATAAAAGAGGGGTTTTAAAATACTATTTCGTTATAAGCAGTTAGTTTGAACCAAATTTGTAAAAATAAGCTCATAAACTTCGCTGATGTATTATTCACTTGCAAGTGAATAATTCGACCTCATATGAATCGTATTCATGTGAACTTCAATTTAACGCATTACCCGGAGATGGGTTACGCATATTATAAGCGTGTTCAGCTATTAAAAGGAAATGGGAATGTCAACATTGAAAGTGAAACAAAGGTGAACTATTTCCTTGACTGATTGGATCTACAAACAATCATTCTTATACAGGTAAAAACGATGATTAACATTTTGTTTTAACATATAACCTGAAATCAAACAGACCTATAAAAATTGCACATGGTCGCTATTTATTTATGTTTATATTTATGTTTATATCGGGTTATATGACCGTCGGCAGCCTTCGGACGGAGGTCATCTCGATGATTGATTAGATGGCGTCTGGGCTAAAATACCCACGAAATGCTAATATGTATTATCGCGTTCATGCATTGTTAATTATTTATTTTAGACTTTTTGTAATTTGGATATACATTTTAGTATGTTATTCATCAAATATGAGAATTTGAGTCAAATCTGAGAACATGAATTTGAAAGCTAATGCCCCTTAAATCACGGGTGTGTACTCAAAGCGTTTGAAGAACGTCATATTAGAATCAATATCCGTATAACTCACAGTATTTTAGATTTTGAATGAATAAAAGTTTTCGTTATATTAGGATTAAATAACATATGAATATAGTCATTTAAAACAAAGTTTCTACTGAATTTGAAATCCTTTATAAATTTTGTGAATTGAATTAAAAATCTATACCAATCATTTGTGATTCAAGATGAATAGTCTCGTTATGCCTTTTCAAAATTGTTGTGCTCTGATGATTAACTTGGATAAAAAAAATATCAGCTGAACCTTTTCCGTTCGGCAGTATAATTAGAGGTCGTCCGTTTGATAATACGAAATATATTCGTTCGCAGCCATATCCGGTCAGAATTTGGACTTTTAATTCGATGCCTGGTGTAGGCAGCAAGTCACGTTCTCTGCGCATTAAACAACTTTGGCCTGGTTGCAAGGCAAATGTTTACCCCTTAGTTTTCACCCATTACAGCCCTGCCGACCCACTTATTGATTTGTCCTCGCCTTAAATATGCATGAAATATTGCATCTGGACGTTAGGTAAACAAGAACTAACCAACCAAAATTACATTAAAAAATGTTGAAAAGAACTAGGACCCAAAATTCTGATAATGTTAATGTTATGTGCGTTTTCAGCATTTTGATGTGAACATTTTTTTGTCCACTTTAAATATTAAAATAGATGCTTAAATTGTTTTCAATTGGAAAAAAACTCTACAAAGGACCTTTCAATAGATCTATCCTCTTCCTGACGACAAAATATAGTATCATCATCTATCCGATACAGGTTCTTTTAAAGTAGAGTGAGGTTTTAACGTAATATTAATATAAGATAAAATAATATAAAATGATATCTAGAATTTTGCTGTAAATTCTATTTTTCAATGCGGTTATCAGTGTTTTAAGACTCTCAATTAGCTATTATATTATTTTAATGTAAAAAGACAAGAATCTTACCAAAATACATGTTCTTCGATATTGGAATTGCTGGCGAAAACGTGTTGCATGAATTAAAACGAAACTAGACACTTGACAAAAAGAGAATTACACTAGTTACACGCAACAATCTACATGCATTGATTTTTTGTTGTGAAGAAAATTACATATTTTAAACATCTATATTTTGAAAGAACATTTTGTATCTAATTCAATATTATGATTTTGAACAGGAAGCACATTTAAATAATTACTTTTCAATTAATACCTGTCTAAATCCTTCATATTACGACCCTTTATTTGTTATTGTATGTAAAAATATCTATGGATATTTGTTTTACATTGGGACACATGCGTACATTGTTTTATGATATATTAATAAACATATTTGTATTCTATAAAAAAACAGGACGAAAAGCTCCGCTGTGAGGATTTATCTTACTACCTATATTTTAAATTAAAATTTTTTCCTCAAGATACGTTTAATGTATAGTATATCAAAACTTTATTACGTCCTAATTTTTATGCAACAAAACTATAAAAAAAAAGAAATAAACAAATCTCATACTTTGAATTTATACTATCTTTATTTACTTAAATAGATAAGCCAAAAAATCTGTAGAAAGTAAATATGATCAGCAATATCAGATCTCAGAAAATGTCAGTTAATACAGACTTCTCATTATCTGTCCCGCTTTTATCCGACGACTGAACTAAATGTAACTTAAAGTACATTGGAAGGACACGATACAACTCACTTCGAAAAGCAAATTGACTTGCCAATTTCCAAAATTAAGGTGACAATTATCCACCAGAGTTCTAAAGAAGCAGATGTAAGCAATTATAGGCAACCGTACGGCCTTCAACAATTATAAAAAAACAGTAACTGTTAGTCTTTTGTTGGCTAATCAATTAAGATAGATATTTTCGGCAGACCCAATGAGTTTTAAATGAACATTAAACAAAAAGCATCTCATTAGTCGACTAAGTAATACATATCAATTTCATTTATCATGGCAAGGCTCTTGAATTGTGAAGCGACACCAAGTTTATTGATTGTTTTATTTTGTTTTGATTTGCTTTTTGTCACCGTTAAATGTCGATGCAAACAATTTTTTTGATACCTGATCTGCAAAATTCTACATTTAAACTACGATGATTGATGGTGCATAACCTTTTAAGAAATTGATTTAATAACAATTTACCAGTTCAATAGAAATAAGAAGATGTGGTATGATTGCCAATGAGACAACCCTCCATCCAAGTCACAATGTGTACAAAGTAAACAATTATAGGTCAAAGTACGGCATTCAACACGGAGCCTTGGCTCACACCGAACAACAAGCTATAAATGGCCCCAAAATGACTAGTGTAAAACAATTCAAACAGGAAAACCAATGGTCTAATCAATATAAAAAACGAAAACGAGAAACACTTAAGAACCACATCAATAAACGACAACCACTGAAACAGGTTCCTGACTTAGGACAGTTGCAAACAAATGCCGCGGGTTTAAACGTTTTAACAGGCACCAACCTTCACCCTAACCTGAAATAGAAGTGTAACATTACAACATAGAAAGACAAACTAAAATATCAATTGAAATGGCTTAACTCAATCAAAAAGACATGTTAACAAAAACAAGGAAACATACACTGAACGAATAAATTTGATCTTTTACACAATGTCAAAAAGACAACTACAACCTTGGACAAATTTATACGATGGGACATATTGAATATTACTTCTCTTGAGATATTTTTATTGGTATTTATAATTTATTTTCGAACGTGTCTTAAAGACATACTCATAATTTATCCCAAGTTGAGATTTTCAGTTTAAGTACATTAGTGAGTTTTGGTAGCTTTTATGTGCCTTCGTATATCCTCGGGAACCAGATTATCAGAACGTATTGAAATTTTTCGATGATTTATACAGGTAGTTATCTATATCCTTTGATACTGTCACTCTATGGATTTGCTACCAAGTGACATTGTATATTTGCAACAATTAAAGTTCTTTTGTGGATCGAAAAGTAAAAAAGTAAAGACTAGATTGCAGTTAATACTAAAAACATCAATTGTTATATATTCCAACCTATTTGCGTTTTGACAGAACATATTCGTCTTGATTTGAAAGTTTATTAAATAGCAAGTATAATGATAACGCAATAATTATATATATTTTTAAATGGTCCCTGTACGTGTTGTGTGTGTAGTATTTAATACAACGTGGTATTGTGCATTGTGACAATACACATGGGAAAAGTATACTGAAAATTTATTATATCCCAATTTCTGAACGTTTACCACGTGATATTTTATATTTCCACCATAGCTTGAAAATTATGAAAGCAGAAAAGTAAAAAAAAGATATTTCTGTTCAAAATATTTATTTGGTCGGAAAGCAAATTGATAATTCAACAAAACGATGTTTGATTTCATTAAAAGATACTAACCGACCGAGGGAATTCGAAAATTCATTAAAATTATTACGTTTTAACTGAAACTAAATTTATCATTAATAGACTATAATTATTAATTTCATATTATGTCCCACAGGTTTTAACAGTGCAACATTGATTTAAATTATATGCAAAAAATGAGCAGCAAGTATCAAGGATGCACATAAATAAATTGATTGATTGTTGGTGTTTTAACGCCACTTTTAAGCGCCACATTTGGGCTATTTCGTGGCGGCCAGTTTTTATTGGTGGAGGAAGCCGGAGTGCCCGGAAAAAAACACCGACCTTCGATAGGAAAACTGACAATCCTAGTCAATTTAGATTGGAGTCGAGTGCACCCTCACGAGCGGGTTTTGAACTCACAACCTCAGTGTTGACTGACTAGTGATTACAGTAGTAGAACTACTTAGACCACTTGGCCACAGAAGCCCCCCACATAAATAAATAAGTATCTACTACTTAAACTGTAGTGAATGAAAAAAAAAATGCATGGTTTCAATTAACAAGGATTTATAAGACTCTACTTATATTTGGTATAGCAATATATTCATAAAATGGAAATTTAGAATTAAAAAAGAGATTGTTTGATAAAATAAATACATCATTTAATACTTTACGTTTGTGTTTATTGATAGCATATTTTAAATTATCGGAAACAATCTATTAACAGGAATGTATATTAATTTAATTTCACTTCTTTTTTTGTTTGTTCTAATAGTGCAAACTTATAGCATCTAAATCTTTGCAATATTCTGCGATTTTGAAAATTGTCAAACCATTTGAGATAGGTAGTTTGAAATCCTAATTCAACTGACATTAGATTTGAGCATGTAGTAAATATACGTGATAACACAAATGCATATTCTAATCAAGAATGCTTTCCATTTACTATTTCTTGCACAAGAAAACCACATGCATGCATAAATATTTTCACTCGGGGAATGTAAATTATCTCATTTCTTATCTATATTCAAGACACGACAGTAGGAGCTTGACATGTGATTTTTAAAGTATTCTGATCTCCAGTTGTTTCTCTTTTCTTTTTATTGTTTTGAGTGACTTTCGTATTGACTTTTACCAAACATATCCTTTTATATCATTGGTTCTTTTCAGAGCATGGTAAGCTATTCATAAAACTTCTGAAAACAAGATATTACTAGTAATAAAAAACTAAGTGTTTCCTGTAAAATATTAGGATTGATTAAAGTAACTTCAGGAAATCCTTAAAATGTTAGATGTTTTATGAGACCAAAATGATTATCAGTATATAAGAGGTCCAATGAAGCTGGTGTAATACTCTCAACAACAAAATACGAAACCTTTTTGTAACTTGCATGACACAGAGCTACACTTCACATGGACATTGGACTTTCAATTTCTCTATACCACCTTTAAAACGAGGACAGACAATAATGAGTATAAGAATTATTGGAGCCATCCAGGAATCAGAATATGAAGATATGAAAGATAATAAATGCATCCTGATTATAAATCAAACTGAGTGCTAAAATTTATATAGCGATTGGTGTGTGAAATTTCCTTTAGATATCCGGTTTGCAGAAACTGGGAATTGCAATAGGATTAGGACTTTATATATTAAACACGAAGAAATGATGTACACTTCTAAGTAATGAATACGATAGTCAAGCATTAAAAGATATATTCAAAAGGTAGCTGTGTACACTCTTCTATTTACAACTAAATCCAACAGTGCTTTTAAGTGACTTGTGCAAGAATCTGCACACAGTTACATATTTTCAATAAAGGTCTTCTAAAGTCACCACTACCTTATTCTATTCATAGTCTATTATTTCAAATCAAAAGAAAAAAAAACATAAGCAATAATTTTTTGGTGACCAGTCAGCGGTCTCGGATTCACGTGTTGCTTTTCTTTCATTAAAGAAAACAACTTGTTCATTCCCACCTCTCTATAAAAATATTAATCAGCAAATTTTGATCCTTTTAACTATCTTTATAAACAGATTTTTTGGCTGATTTCATAGCTAAAAATAAGAAATCTTTGCATGGTTGGGGGAATGGCTCATTGTAAAAAGGTTGGTCAGTTTAATGACCATTGTAGTCTTAAAAATTATTAATAAGATCCACCCATAAAATTGTATCAACATATTCTGATTTAAAGGATATAAAGGAAAATAACTAATTAAAAACATCATAACTGTAAACAGGGGCACAAGTTAGAGACGTATACACAAGACCTAGTGGGAATTAAGAAACATTGTAAAAAAATACATTATGGCTAATGAAAAAATAAAAAAATAAAGACAAACAAATAATTGACTGTCTATGAAACACTACACACATACTACTTCTACTAAATATTGAGCAACACGAACCCTATGGACTACAAGGAATAAGTCATGGGCTCTGGACGGATAAAGAGTTCCTGTTTCATATTATCATTCTTCGTGTTGCTCACGGCATGTAAATATCCGGTGATAATTAACTTTCGATAATTTAATATATAAGGAACACATGACAATACAACAAGTAAATGAATATCAGTCTTAAACGGTCATTTTGATCTTAACAACATCATAAAATTCTGAACAACATATTTTTAAGTCAAACTTAGTATTTCAGTCAATTTTC